AATGCTCATTTCTTATGCATAAAGGTGATCTAACGAATTAATGCCAAAAAAAAAAAAACGTTAGCAAAAAACTCGTCTGTAATTAAGCTTTTGATATTCTACGCCGTTTCAGTTCTCTTAATTTGCTTTGCATTTCTCATTAGAGATTCGGCTTATGTTGATTTACTGCGTTTCCCGATTCACTGGCTCCGACACTTTGATTAATATTTAGGTGTCGAAGTGAAAGGTATAAAAATTGGCATGATTCAGCGAGATATTAAATCTGTAAGCATTTTTTTTTTCTTCGCAAAACAGCGACCTTTCTATTATTATTATTATTTATTATTATTATTACAGATTATTTCTAAAAGGTCACATAAAATTGTCATAAATATGCATGTTTATATACTTTCTTTCTTTATATAGCAATCTGTAGTTAACGTTATTAGTAGAACTATGAAATACATTTAAATGTAATCTTATTATAATTATATATTGTATTACTGTTTGTTAACTAAAAAAAAAATAAAAAAAAGTATTGAGAAGGAAAAGAAAGAAGTCATTGGGAGGTTGCGCTTGAAAGTAAATTATTTCCAAACTTTTCTTTCAGACACTTTTATCATTATCATCGTTGATCACCTGTTAATTGTTCTACTAAAAATAGAGCTTTCTTATCAGACAGTTTACAATCAATTAATAATACTCTTTAAATCTTATAGAGATATTGTTGTACTTCGTTTCGTGTTTGCATGAAATATATTTTCTTTTTATTCTTAGTATTTTAAGTTTAGAACTTCGCACAGGTAGACGCGGTGGATTATAAGATCCTTCATGCACTCTACAGCGTTTAACTTAACAATTTAAAAGAGATAAAATTAAAACAAATTTATTTTCTATGTCTCAAATTCAACAACGACAGTCATGGAAACTAGAACAAATTTACCAAGATAACAACTTAGAATGGCAAACAAGCTGATCGCCCACCTGATGGAAAGTGGTAACTGTCGCGTAGAGACATGAGCAGTACCATGGACATAACAGAGTATACTGTTTCGCCCATGATACCTCCTATGCGTTACCATTCCTGAGGTCTCGGGTGTTATTCCTCTGTACCCTGTAAATTCACGCCCTGTAAATCACATTACTAACATAGACCAAGTAATAGTATCTATGATCTCAGAAATATCTATCTATTACAGTATTAAAAGATTTTCTATTTTGTAATTTGCCTCTTGGTGTATTTGTTTTTTTTTTTTTATATATTTCTAATAACTCCTATTCATTTTGTATTAACTCTCGGAGTTTATAATTCGAGAAATTACAAACTCCGAGACTCAATGTCAATATTGTCTGCGTATTTGTAATGAGCCAATTCGAGCTTGGTTTTATTTGACTACCTTTTAACATACAAGATATAATTGCAAATGAATTCGACAATTCATTAAAAATTTAAAAGATTTTTGTTACAATTCTATTTGCCAGAGTTCTCGAAGGAATGATTAAACCTTTTCTCCTTAAAGTATTCCCACCGTATTTGTGTGTATTTAAACGACTCTCGGAAAAAGTTCTGAATATAACTGTATTAAAAAAAAAATTTGAATGTCTATCAGTTATTAACCAACTTCAAAAAAGCTGGTTCTATGTTCGACTGTATTTTTTTTATGTATTTAGTACCCATAGTAGAAGCTGTGCTCAGTTTGGGACAAGACAGCACTGTATAAATTATGCCCATTGGTATTATATATATGACGAATGATATCATTATATATGCTGAATCAAGAATGATAATACTGCAAATGATAAGATTTAGAGCTCGTTTTACAGAATATCCGCCAATTATTAGACAACAGATTAAAACGATACGAGTCGTTCAAAATGAACCTTTTTTACATACATTGATAGATTTAGTTTTTTTATAAAAAAAAAAATTGAAAATCAAATTAATTATAACAAAATATATATATTATATTACATCAAGTCAACAGACGACATTTTTACTTACAATTAATATAATTAATAAATAATAATTATATAACAACAAGAACCAGCATATTTTATAAACACAAGTTTAGTGTAATCTGTTATTTACCATGTGACACTATAGAAGGAGCCACACCTATCTTTCCTGTGTCGTAAGAGGCGACTAAGGGAACTTAATAGCCGAATGATGGGCAGCAGTGTATATTTTAAAACATCACCGAAGCTTAACTGCTATTACCAATCTACCACCACCCAACACCAAGGGTGGCAACTACTGGTAATATCCTTCTTATGGTATTTTTTTATACAACTTAGAATGGCAAACAAGCTAACGGCCCACTTGATGAAAAGTGGTGACTGTCACCTATAGACTTAAGCAGTGCCATGGACATAACAGAGTATACTGTTTCGCCCATGATACATGACCTCCTATGCATTGCCATTCCCGATGACTCAGGTATTATTTGTCTGTACCCTGTAATATCACGCCATATCACACCTTTCAAACCGAAACACAGTCACTACTTTACGGTTGAAATACGAATGGGACAAAGGTATCCAAGCAAACGACTTTTGTACAAAGTCTCCCTCTGGTATAATGAATATAATCAATAAAACTTAATAAAATGAATGCATAAGTGTAGCATGGTTGTTAAAGTATATTATGTGTGTGTGTATGTATGTTAGTACAGTATATTCATACGTCTATAAGTGATGCTTACCATTTTCCATCAGGTAGACCAGCTACTTTGTTGTTAAAAGTTGCATTAAAATAGCATAATATTTAATATTTTTTTAAGCATAACCAGTTTTTAGCATAACCAGTTATTTTGTTTTAAAAACTAAACTATTTAATCCATTTTAACAGAATTTCTATAGTACCAGTATATCCTTTCAGGCAAAAAAATCAATTTTCCATATCGGTATAAGGTAAAAAACATAACAAGAAAATTAAAACCGAACAGAGAACCTGCTTTTTTTAAATCGGTTGAAAATATCAACCGTAATTTAAAACTCATAACGATAAAAAAAAAAGAACATACAAGTACAAAAATAAAATTTAAGTATTTGCGTTATACCAATGTAGGTGCAGAAGTCGAGAAATATCACAAATATTGATGACGCTTTCAAATTAGCTATTTGCGTATCTCTTTATTGCCTTCCGTAATGGCGGTGTGTAACCACGATTTATGGGTAAAACATACGAGGCATATATACACATTTATTGTTGGTAAACGAAAGAGAAATATCCCATTTAAAAAACCCTTCGCGTTTATGTAAACAAAATAAATTGATGCCGATAGCGTTGGGGCATAGAGGGCTACGCCCACCCGTAAGACCCTGATGGTAATAACTTCAAATTGATAGACTTATGTAAATTTATATATAGTACATTATATAAATAGACAAATTAGATATACCTGACCTACGACTTTGTTTATATAAATAAGAATGAAATTTACTTTATGTATACCGTAATAAATACAATATTTTAATCTTAACTTACCAAATTGTCTTCAAAAAGGCAGATACTTTACTTTACTTTATTCTTTATTGTACACAAAAAGGTTACTGAAATGTAAAAACAAACATAATAGTGCACAAGGGCGAGCTTATCTCCAATAGAGATTTCTTCCAGCAAATCCAATATGAGAAAAGTGACAGTTCATTAGTAGTTACAGTCATACATGTGTACCAATCGACTTAAATGTTATAGTTAAAAATAAATAAATAAAATAGATATTTTCGATTTGTTTAATATAAGTGTATGTAGTAAGAGTAATATACGTCTTAGAAGAGATTTTGCATGTTCTATTGCTTGTACAAAGGACTATGATCACAGAAATTGTTTACCATAGTGACCATGGCTACTTCCTACCTTGTACAGCTTGCCATCGACTGGAAGTTCATCCATGTACCTTAAGGTCTAGATGGTAGTGTACAGCATGGATTTAAATATGTTTCCTCCTAACAATGCTTAAATTATGAAATAAGAGATTCGAGAATCGAGATTCTTCCAAGAGACGACAGCAAGGGATACTTCAAAAATCAAAAAAGTTGCCAATAGGCACGTAATGTCCCTGGTATTGTATTCGTTCATAAGCTACAATAATACCTTACTATCAGGTGGGCCGTATACTCAGTGGTATAAAAAAAAAGTTAGCTCAAAATAAAGTATAGTTGTAGTTGTTTTCAAAGCGATAAATGATCTTTGAAAGTTGAATAGAATAGAATAGAATAAATAGAATTTTGTTTTACATATACTCGAAGCATTAGACGTTGCCTTAGACTTGGCATTAGTATGAACAGTTACAACTTATTCGACGTGCAATAATTTTAATTGTAACCGCTACACCGCTAAAGTCATCGAGATAAGAGATTTCTTCGAAATCATTTTAATAATAAACAAGATTTCTTAACAATTCCGTAAAAAAAATACTCAACAACAACTTTATCTCAGGACACGCTGTTCTTAAAATAGCTGTTTTCTTTAAAACAGAATAGCCAGACTATCCCGTCCCGAATTCTATGCTCAAGTTTTATGAAAAATAAATCTTTTGTTCTATCCAGTTGTTAGTAGCTAGTTACTGCTTAATATAAATTTTCTTTCAACTAAAAATAGTTCCTCCGGCGCAGCTCATTTTCAATGGGTCTCTTTTAAAATATATGACCCAGCATTTAAACTAGCGACAACAATGTTTCAAGAAAAACTCCTTATTAATTATCTTCTGTAGTTGCATAGCTGTTCTTTGCTGCTTTCCTGTAAAAAATATGCTTTATATAATAATTTATAGATGATTTTCATATTGTTGTAAATCCTATGGATGGAATATTAATAATATGACAGTATTTTCATATTACTATTTGTTTGGGCTTGTTCAATAGTGATAATCCGATACCGGTTGCATCGCACTGCTTGAAGGTCGTTTTACCACACAAGAGAGTGCTGTCGCATCGCACCTGAGCGCAACTATGTTCAGATTGATAAAAAAAAAAGTAATATGGCGTTGGCGCGAAAAGTGATGACGGGTTGTTAGCAGCATACGCTCTGTTTTGTGTATTTATTTTATAATAAAGGACATATAAGTGAAATTTATAGTTTGCTACGAAGTGGTTTTGTGTGCAACTTGTTATATTTCATAATAAGATTTAGTTTCTATTAATAGAAAAACTGGTATGTGTACCATGGACATGTGAAGTACTCGACATTACGCCACCCTATTTAAATACAACATTTGTGCGTGCACCGGAGCCCGTGAGGATCTTTAGCTGCGCCGTGGAGAAAGACAGCAAACCCAGGAGACTAGTGAACCAGCACATCAAAGAGGTACGATTAATTTAAGTTGTTGCGAACGGCATACCGGTCTAGGAAAGTCATTGTTAACCGCCCTCTCTGCCGACCCTTGGACTTTTAGTTTTTCGTCCATACACTATTACAAAACTAGCTAATTTGATTTGAAAACTTTATTTTTTACCACTGAGGTGGCAAACAAATATGCGGCCTACCTAATGGTAAACAGTTACCGTAGCTTATGAACATTTGCAATATCATTTAGCACACGTTGCTGACCCTTTCTGGTCGGCTGAGTCTCTTGGATAAACTTCTTGAATAAACTACTGTATCGATTTTAATAAAGTTTCTATGAAACCAAACTAGGTATATAGGAAAAAATAATTAAAAAAATAATTTTCCTAATCAGCTTATAACTAACGGAGTTATGAGGTTATAAAAAATACAGTTGAAATGAGAAACTCCTTCTTTTTTAAATCGGTTAAGAATATGCAATTTACTAATATGGGTAATAAAGTACCATTGAGATGGAAATTTAAAGAAGCAAATATTTTCATCGTAGCTTTACAGTATATACATGCAAACATTCAAAATTCATCTAATTTGCTTGTTCTTAAAAAGAGCATTATTAATAAACTTAATCTATACTTATAATAAATCTGTAGAGAGGTCAATTCTGCACATGAAATATATTTCCAAAATAATTATCAGGGAGTTATTAGTGATCGATACTGATGCCAAAAATGCAATCAGTTAAATTTTTGTCTGTCTGTGTGTATATTCGTTATAGAAACAAAAACTACTAGATGGATTTTAACGAAACTTGGTACAATTATTCTTCATAGTCCTAGGCAGGTTATAGTATATTTCTCATCACGCTACGATCAATAGGAGCAGAGCAGTGAAGGGAAATGTTGGGAAAACGGGAGAATTTACTCTATTTTTAAGCTTCCGTCGCGTGTGCAGCCTTAATGGCCACTTTTTAAAATGTAAAAATGTCCACCCGTGCGACGCCGGGACGGGCCGCTAGTACTGAACATAAATCCGAGTATACACAATTTATTTACCCAATGTATCTTTTAGAGAAATAACTCTTTTACTGTACATCTCCGAGATGCCTTAGCCAATTTTATTTGCGAATGTAATATGTCTAGATTCATTACCAATTCAATCTTACAAATTACAGGTTCGACATAATCCCGCGAAAATCCTCCGAATGTATCCCCAGGTAATCGGATTAGGAAACTTAAGAAGACTTGCACGTTACCATAACGTAACCTGTATTGAGTTGTACAAAATACTTATGAATGTAACTGATATTTTGTACAAAGCTATCAACATGGAAATTAGAGGACGCGAAAGAGTAACACCATACTATTCAAGAATGGTAACGCATGAGATTTTTTTTTTATACAACTTAGAATGGCAAACAAGCTGACGGCCCACCTGATGGAAAGTGGTAACCATCGCCTATAGACATGAGCAGTGCCATGGACATAACAGAGTATATTGTTTCGCTCATAATACCCCCCCCCCCATGCGTTACCATTCCTGAGGACTCAGGTGTTATTCCTCTGTACCCAGTAAATTCACGCCATATCCCACCCTTCAAACCGAAACACAGCCATGCAAACACAGATGCTTCACGGTTGAAACACGAATGGGACAGAGGTACCCAAGCAATAGACTTTTGTACAAAGTCTCATGGGTATCATAGTAAGTTATGTATATGGTGCTGTTCATGTCAATAGGCAACGGTTACTACTTTCTATAAGGTGGACTAGAAACTTATTTGAGATTCTAAATATCATAAAAGAAATGAAATTTTGTCTGCTGTAAAAAAATAAAAATGAAATGTAGCCGAGCATTGTTTTTATTAGTAGAAATGTAAAGAAACAAATGGTCCTAACCAGGAAAAATGGCTACCGTTACCCATGAACATTTGCAAAAGAAGTTGCTAGTTCATTGCTAATATTTTAAAATTTTGCAGGCTCGTTTTTTGGAGTGCTCCATATTATATATGATATATCATATATATGGAATAAGGCTCAGTGGAGAGCTTATTTCAAAGCCTAAATATGCGAAGAAGAAATAAATGTGCTGTACTTACAGTGGTTGTACACCACGCATCCATAAAATAAGGATAAACTGCAATTCTTTAGCGACGCATATGCATGATGCTGGAATGAAGTTAGTATCATCATAATAACCAGATGGTACGTGCTGATGTCTTCAACAGATCGTTATAGGGTCAATTTCATATAAACAAGCTTTAATTATTTAATTTTATTTACGAATAGTTATAAAAAATACAATTTTAGATAAGAGCCGTTGCGTTGATCCACTTGAAATTTTGATAACCATGTAAATAGCTTACTTATACTTTGTTTTCCAACTTTTTTTTTATTATTATTATTTTAAGGGCTTTTACCTTCTTAAGGTATATCAGTACTATCGTACCCTGAACTAATTTCTCAAACAAAACTCTATCTACTTTCCCTAGACGTGGAAAGAGAAGAATTAATGGGCATCAATAATTTACAAAGATGTTAGAACATTTCTGGTTTAAATTCAGCTAACATAGATTGAATAAGACCAACATTAAATTGGTCTTATTTGTTTTCCAATTTAATGTTTCAATACATATTTTACTTAAATACGTGATATTTTGAAATACATTATTCACGGATTAATTGTTATTTTTTCAAACACTATTATTGGTTTGTGTGCGATTGCTTACATTTGAGGATTGACCACTATTTGTAGATACTCGACGACCTATCCTATCAATTATCAATTTCTGATGTTATTAAATCTGTACTCATGTTGTAAAGTGTCATTCACGTCTAAACGAGGTATTATCAGGCATTTAATGGATCGCTGCTCGAAGTCTAGTCTTGCCAATGCTCAAAGTTGGTAGTTGCATGCATAATATTCATAATGGTAGCGAAATTAAATAAAATAACTAAGGGTGTGAAATTATAGTAATACAGTAATCGTTATCATAATAATATCAGCCTTTAACTGTCCACTGCTAAACATAAGCCTCTCCCTTGGAGGGTTTTGCCATGCAGATGCCTTTGGCAGGTGGATTGGCCACCGCAGTCAGACTTTGGAGATGTTTTAAGAGGGACGCTGCCGCTTATCTCTTGTCCAACCTTACGCTTTGTCACCTTTTACGACCTGCACAGGAAAGAAAGGTGAGGCCTATTTTATGCCGGGACAACACAGGCCAATATAGTAATAGTCCGACTTAATATCTACATATCACATGGTTTTCCAATGTTTCACAGTTCCAGTTAGGAAAACCCTTCCGTCTTCCATTCAGGGTGACTCAATTTAAGATCCAATCCAAATCGTATGTACCCGTTTTTGCGTGAAGGGATTTATTTTAATTACTTCCTCTACCATTAGTATGCGTGAGACCCTTGGGTATATGACAAATTGCGTACTATTAGTGGCATAAATAGAGTAAATAACAGTAATCCTACAGCTAGCTATTGTAATTATGTTAACACTACACACGAACTTCAACCTTATTCTAAACTTTCAAAGTCTACTATTCACGACGAAAAGGCAAGTCTTAAGAACATACCTATTATAGTACTAGATACTTAAGAAAAGTAGATAAGGTAAATTTAGTCTCTTTAAGTTTATACAAGATGTTTCAAAAATCAGGTTCAAGTCGAACGATTTTTTTTTTTCCTACTTTCGTATTATCGAGAACGGTGAACGAGCTGACGATGTAATGGAAAATAACGTAAATATAAATACTTTCTTTTCTAAAAAATAAGATTAATTATTGTCAATTTACTATCTGATAGTTATTTACCGCCTTTAGGTCTTAATATGACAGAGAGAAATAAAACACAACTTAATCGAATCAAAAAATATAGTTATTACAAAAACTAGGTGTCTACATACATTACAAGAGAAACGTCTTACAACTGAGGACGCAGAAGTTATGTCACATGTTTTAAAATATTGTACTATATCATAGCATAGGAATAAGTATAAAATTTATTTTAAAGACTACTTAATTTAACAGATCTATATTGCAACCAATAAACGAATTAAGTTTTATATTAAATTCAGAAAACAATAACTGGAAACATGCTTACGGAATGGTTTGTTCGATTTATCCTTCAGTGCAGCTAGCGTCCGTGGAGCGAAGGAAATACGATAGATCAGAAACCAGGTCAATCAAATACGTGCAGTCGTGCACACTGACAAATATTTACTTTTGTAAAAAAAAAGTAACGTATAAATAATTCAAATAAAATAATAGAGGCAAATAAAAATGACAGCTAACAAACAAGTAAATAAAACACTTTGATGTATCGCATGTACTCGACACTCCAGCCGAATTGGTGTTGCCAAAAAAATTTGAATATAACATGAAATATTTATAAAGAACAGTGTATATCGTATGGTAATGTGTGGACTCGGTGTGTACGGAGCTCGGCGTGTATGCACGAAGATTACCTCGAATAGCAAACACTTTTGATATATCACGGACTGTGTTGCCAGTGAGTGCTCCGAGCATCAGTAATAGAGATTCATTTATTGAGAGCACGTATCTGCGGTGTAGATGAAATGATTTGTACATTTAACAATTAAAATTTAATTTATTAAATTGTCTATACCAGGAGTGGCCGACTTGACTAGATCCAGGATTTACTGTTTACCGACGAAACGCTGTGCGATCTACCAATTGCATACTTCTTGAAATATCAATTGAAATAACGTACTCTTAGTTCAGTACACAAGTATGTAGTATTGTAATATTTTTTTATTTTATTAAAAGGGATAACATAAAACTGAAAATTATTCTTAGTAACTACTTATTTATATTTTTTGTGAGCAGTCTATCTGAGCATCTTCCTTTAGATTAGCAAAATATTATATTTTTTTGACTTGCCTGTAAAGATATACTATACTTTAATGTAATATTTTATGTGTATATATATATATATATATATATATATATATATATATATATATATATATATATATATATATATATATATACCATTGGGAAAACCGACAAATAAGTAGGCGGTACATTCATGAATTGAGAAAACATAAAGTAATATATATATATATTACTTTATGTTTATATATTACTATTATATATATATATTACTTTATGTTTTCTCAATATAATATATACTCATGTATTATAAACATATAATTAAATTAATATAAACTTTTTTTTATACAACTTAGAATGGCAAACAAGCTGACGGCCCACCTGATGGAAAGTGGTAACCGTCGCCTACAGACATGAGCAGTACCATGGACATAACAGAGCATACTGTTTCGCCCATGATACCCCCCATGCGTTGCCATTCCTGAGGACTCAGGTGTTATTCCTCTGTACTCAGTAAATTCACGCCATATCCCACCCTTCAAACGGAAACACAGCCATGCAAACACAACTGCTTCACGGTTGAAACACGAATGGGACAGAGGTACCCAAGCAAGGGAGACTTTTGTACAAAGTCTCCCTCTGGTTGTTGCAATAAAGAGTTAAATAAATTAATAAATAAATTCACCATCTGAAATTCTATTGCTGATTAATAAACACTTTTAAATATAGCTTTTTCATAATAAAAAAATCTCAAGACTGGATATTTGTGGAGCTATAAATATCTTATTCAATAAAACCTTTATCGGTTCAGGTGGATAGATTGATTGATAAACTCCCGTTTCCTGAGCAATTTTTACAACTTTATTATTAAAACGACAATGACAAAATTTCGAATTCGTCACGATTCGACAAATATTAACGATAATTAATTTTATAAAATGTCACCCAAAAATTGGGTTGCCACCTACGAAAATAAAATGGTTTCGGCACAGAATGAACTAAACCATTCTTTCGCGCGCCATTTTTACCTCTTATTATAGGCCACTAAGGGAATTTAATAATCGAGGGATGGGCAACAACGTTCCTCTTAAAACAATACCAAAACCTATAGCAATACCCCCCCCCCCCCCCCTCCTACTCCTTATGGAAGAGGTCTATGTTCAGCAGCGGACAGTTTTTTTTTAATGGATGATAATGGAATGGTAACCCCACCTGCGCTATCGGTATACACCGGCGGGGCACCAGTGAAGGATGATAGGTGAGGATGAAGCAGGTCAGTTAGCCCATCGTGACGAATTCAACAAGAATTGTTCACGATGGTTTCCAAGGGGAACCACGTGGAGGTCGACCTAATAAAGCATATTGCTAGCAATCGGGCTGTAAAACTTCATTGCTAACAATCCCTTTCCACCCAGCAGCGGACAGTTAACGGCTTATACGATGCGATACGAATTATTATGTAAAAAGAAATATTATTTGGTTAGTTTTAAATGAAATTAAAATATAATTAAGAATACTTCTAGTTTTTTCTAATAATTTTTTATCTTCATTAAATATAAATTTTATTATCTGAAGGCTTTACTTCAAGAACAAAATTTCAACAACTTCAGATAAGACTAAAACAAAATCAAAGCCATCCAAAGTGCTTAAAGAGTTAATCGTAGTAATAAAAAATTAAGTAAAGCTCCGCCGATGTCTGCGAACCAGTGAACCGGTATCTGAAGTATTATTGGTTTCAGACTGATTTTACCTACCGCCAATATCCGAATTTTAATTACCTTTTTACAATACTTACTACAATAGCCTTTTTTTTTACAAAGTAAGGAGCAAACGAGCATTTGACTCATTTGATGTCAATTTATTACTATCACTCACAGACACCAGCAAAATCAGAGGAATTATAGGTATTGCTGGCCTTTAAGAAAGGACGAAGATGTTTTCTTGAATCTTTCAGAGTTGTATCTGTTTGTAAATACTACTGCTGGGAGTTGATTCTATAGTTTAATTGTGCGTGGAAGAACGTATCCGGCACGAAGGATCTCTACACCTTCATAGATTTCACCAAAAGGAGGATTAGCTTATTATCATGTGGAGTACACGTGTTTCCCATTCGTGTTTCAACCGTGAAGCAGTTGTGTTTATATGGTTGTGTTTCGGTTTGAAGGGTGGGATGTGGCAGTGAATTTACAGGGTACAGAGGAATATCTG